TGTTTTACTGTATTTTCCCTTTTTCGTTTAATAAATTGGGTAATACGAGTGTAATGGTGACTAAAGGGTGTTTTTTCATGTCCTCTATGATCTACCTACGAAAATATTTGATTTACAAATAAGGAATCTTACTTCGCGGAATTTCGTTTATCACGGTAGGGTCTAGAACCGATTAACCGTGATAAACGAGGGTTCACTGTACTGGAATGGTCACATTAGGACAAGTAGAAAGAAGTAAAAAGGACCATCACAGGATGTCAGTCGCTGTTGAGGCAGCTCAAACTCATGGCAGACTTACGTATAAAACAAACCAAAACATTGCCTGATTTGTGTCATCACCAAGATTTGATTTGTTTGGGCCCAATGTTACAATGATTACGTCTGCATCTCATTTCGGGTTTCCCTCATCTCTGTGGACTCCTCTTCTAGGTTAGCAAACATGATGTCTTTTTCTAGTAGTTGAATTTTGCTGATGAAGTAGCCAAAGGAAACAAAATAACACCTCATCATTCTTTCTCCTATAGAGTATTCCAATTATATTTCCTCCAGGATTGATTTATTAGTTTTGGCAGTTCCTGCTATAATCAATATTCTTTGTCAACATCACACTTTGAATGCATCACTTCTTCTCCTAGCTTCCTTTTTCATTGTCCAGATTTTGTATGCAGATGAGGCAACTGAAGAGCCCATAGAAGGTTGTTTTACACGCTATCTAGTCAGCTCCAACTCAGAGCGCCCTATGTACAACAGAACAAAAACCAACCTGTCCAGCAGTGTCCTCACAATTGTTATGTTTGAGCCCATTATTGAAGCCACAGTACAAAAGCTATCATCTTGAAGATCTTCCTCTTTTTCTATGTCCTCTACTTTACCAAGCATGAGGTCATATTCCAGAGACTGCTCTCTCCTGATAACACGTCCAAAGTATGTAAGACAAAGTCTTGCCATCTTACTTGTAGGCTTTAATGTTCGACAAAGCGTTTGGGCTGTACTTCTTCCCAGAAAGATTTGTTGGTTCTTTTGGCCATTCATGGTACTTTCAATGTTCTTCATCAGCACCATAATTCAAATGCATTAACTCTTTGGTCTTCCTTATCCAATGTCCAACTTTCACATGCATGTGACATGATTAAAAATACTATGACTTGGATCAGGCATACGTTCATCCTTGCTTTTCAACCTCTTTAAGAGGTCTTCTGCAGCAAGTGTACCCAGTGCAATGCGTCTTTTGATGACGTGATTGCTGCATCTGTGAGCACTGGTTGTGGAGTATGAGGCCGTAAATGCTGGAAAGACTAAGAAGTGTTCAGTCAGCTTCAGAACTGCCAAACACATATCTATCATGTTTCCCATCTCACTTTAAATGTCACTATTCTTCTTCAGTGCCCACCTAAATCTCACCCTCTTCAAAGTCCAGGTTATGTCTGATGTTCTCTACAAGGTCCTCCCTGGATTTTTAACTCTATACTGAACTTTGTGCAATTGTAACAGGAGAGGGCACATCAAAGGGCACTCCCTCCCCTCCAGCACCCCCAGTTCTCACAAATCCCTACTTGAGGAGTAGTGGAAGGTGTCAATATTCAGCTGAGTTACCCAGCCAGCCCAGAACTACAATTTTGTCAAAACTCTCAGATGGAATCAAATTCTCAAGTACTGACTCACATAGGATGGGGGAATTTCTAAATTTAAAACGAGAACTTTCACTGCCAGGAAATTGGTTCTTTACCCTGGCATCACCTTTCCCCTTAAGAAAATATGTACAGAAAGATACGGTTAGATAGTGAGCATGGGGTCAGAACAAGAAAAGTTATTTGTATCTCTTGAAAGACTGTTAGCAACCTGGAGAGCCTTCAGTGCACATCTCCATATAGTTACTTGCCAAGAGTACGGCAGCAGCCAACAGAGTATCATGTCCTCTGCCCTGGGCAGGGGATAATAGAAAAAGTGATTTTTTTTCCCCTACCATCTCATTTCTCGAGGCTCCTAGTGGAACACTGCACATCCCTAACTCCATTCTTCATCACATTCATTCCAACTCTTGCACCACTGATGCTTTCAAGGCACCCCCGAATGTCCAAAACCAAGTATCTGTCCCGAGTCTATTGCATTATTCATCAGGTCTCACTTTTCTCTCTGACGTTTACTCTTGTCTCTTGTGACTCCACCCATGGATTTGTGTCTGTTTGTTCAAAAGGAACTTGTATGTCATTAAAGAATTTAAGTGCACTTCCATTTTCCTTTCCCTCCTTCTATAGCCACTCAGACCAATGTTTCGTTCTGAGGTGCAAGAAATTTAAGGCTTGTGAGCCTTCTCTCTCTCTCTCTCTCTCTCTCTCTCTCTTTAATTTAAACTTGGTTTATTTATTTTTTGTTTTTAAAGAAAAACGTATTCTGTGTAGTTTCACTGCCCATCTCATCATATCTAATCAGTTAATAGTATCTCGTTAGACCATCCAGACATGTGAGTCTTTTTTCCCTTCCCCCATAATTTACAGTCCCTCCCCTCTCCCTGCCCAGCCCCATCCTTGGCTCCTCATAGCCTTCAAAGTCTTATCCTTTGATGTGAAAACCATTTTTATTTTTATTTTCTTGTAATAACGATGCCATTAAATATTTATCTAAGATAGACTAACTTTGCTAGGCATCATTTTCTCTAGTTTCGCCCATTTCTTGCTGTATTTAACAGAGTTGGCATTGCCTTTTATAGATGCATAATATTCCACTGTGTGCATGTACTGGAGTTTATTTATACACTGGAATTTTTTATTATTTCCATCATCTTACTGTTAACGGAAATTGCTAAAACAGATACAGGCATGCATATGTCTGTTCGTGTTGTGTTCTTTATTTCTTTAGAATATGTATATCCAGCAGATTGATTGCAGGATCATAAGATAATTATATTCGTATTTGTTTAAGGAAATGCCATTCTGATTTCCATAGTGATTGCATAATTCCACAGTCCCATCGGCAATGTAAACTGTTCTAATCTTGACATATCCTCTTCAATATTTATTATTTCCTTTAAAAAATGTTTTACTAAGATCAGTGTGAAGTGGTATCTCATTGTTATTTTAATTTGTAATTCACTTAGTACTAATGAACTTGAACATTTCTTCATATGGTTGTTGACCACCTGGATGTCATCTATAGTAAAATGTTTATTTATGTATTTGCCCATTTTTGATTGGGTTATTGGCATATTTCTTATTACAGTGTTGTGGATTTCTATAGATTTATGGATTTCTAGTGTTGTGGATGTAATCTATAGTAAAATGTCTATTTATATAGTTTCCCATTTATGATTGGGTTAATGGCATAGTCCTTATTACAGTATTGTGGGGTTCTATAGATTTGTGAAATTAGCTCGTTATCTGATGTATAATTACTAAATATTTTCCCAATCTCTGAGTTCTCTTTTAACTCTTTTGATGAAGTCTTTTGATGTACATGAATGTCATATACTTTTGAAGGTCCCACTCCTTTATTTTGTCTTCTATAGTGTGGATACTTTTCATTATGCTCAATAGTATATTTATGTCTTGTAGTAGGACCCTTCAGTTTGTTCCTATTTTTTGTTGATGGTCTTTTTCTTTTCAGGGCTTATATTTAGGCCTTTGATCTATCTTGAGTTTGCTTATGTACATGGTATGAAGTATGGATCCTGTTTCATTCTTTTGTGGGTGGATTTTCCATTTTTTTAGCACTATTTATTGAAAAGGCTACTCTTCCCCATTTTAATGTGTTTTATACCTTTATCAAAAATCAGGTGTCTATGTGGATTCAGACCCTGGTGAACGCACCATGGAGCAGGATTGTGACTAACATGCAGATGCATTGGAAGATCGGTTGTTGGAGATGCAGTTAGATTAAAATTTAGCATCTTAATCATTTGATCTCTCTTATGATCCATCTCTCTTATGATCTCTCGCTAGGTGTCCGGCCACTGTGAACATGTTTTGTCCAATTTCCGCAAAGAGTTTTACGAGCTGGTCCAGAATGAAAGGGTCCTTCTCTTTGTGGCCTCAGACGTGGATGCTCTGTGCACCTACAAGATTCTTCAGGCTTTGTTCCAGTGTGACCACGTGCAGTACACGCTAGCTCCAGTTTCTGGGTGGCAAGAACTTGAGAGTGCATTTCTAGAGCACAAAGAACAGTTCCATTATTTTGTCCTCATAAACTGTGGAGCTAATGTTGCCCTATTGGATGTCCTTCAACCAGAAGAAGAGGCTATATTCTTTGTGTGTGACACCCATAGGCCTGTCAAAGTCGTGAATGTGTACAACAACACCCAGATCAAGCTACTCATCAAACAAGATGATGACTTTGAAGTCCCTGCCTACGATGACATCTTCAAGGACAATGAGGAGGAAGTCGAAGAACATTCAGGACCCGAAAGTGATGGGTCAGAGCCATCAGAAAAGCGCACACGATTAGAAGAGGAAATCATGACTCAAACCATGAAGAGGAGGCAGCGAAGAGAGTGGGAGGCTTGCTAGAGAGAAATCCTCTTTGATTATGAGCAGTATGAATACCATGGGACATCGTCAGCCATGGTGATGTTCGACTTGGCCTGGCTGATGTCCGAGGATCTGAATGACATGCTCTGGTGGGCCGTCGTGGGACTGACAGACCAGTTGGTACAAGACAAGATCACCCAAATGAAATACGTGACGGACGTTAGCGTCCTACAGCGGCACGTGTCCCAACACAACCACCGTAACGAGGATGAGGAGCACACGCTGTCTGTGGACTGCACGCGTATCACCTTCGAGTACGACCTCCGCCTGGCCCTCTACCAGCACTGGTGTCTCTACGACAGCTTCTGCAACACCTGCTACACCACTGCCAGATTCAAGCTCTGGTCCGTGCATGGGCAGAAGCGGCTGCAGGAGTTCCTGGCAGACATGGGGCTTCCCCTCAAACAGGTAAAGCAGAAGTTCCAGTCCATGGACATCTCCTTGAGGGAGAATTTGCGGGAAATGATTGAAGAATCTGCAAATAAATTTGGGATGAAGGACATGCGTGTGCAGACGTTCAGCATCCACTTCGGGTTCAAGCATAAATTCCTGGCCAGTGATGTTGTCTTTGCCACGATGTCCTTGATGGAGAACATCGAGAAAGTTGGTGCTGGGACGGACAGCTTCACCCAGGCCCTGGACAGTCTCTCCAGGAGTAACCTGGACAAACTCTACCTTGGCCTGGAACTCACCAAGAAACAGCTGCAAGCCACCCAGCAGACCATTGCCAGCTGCCTGTGCACCAACCTGGTCATCTCCCAGGGGCCTTTCCTCTACTGCTCTCTCGTGGAGGGCACTCCAGACGTCCTGCTATTTTCCAAGCCAGCCTCCCTGAGCCTGCTCAGCAGACACCTGCTCAAGTCTCTTGTGTGTTCAACCAAGAACCGACGCTGCAAGCTGCTGCCCTTGGTGATGACTGCCCCCCTGAGCGTGGAGCAGAGCACAGTGACTGTGGTGGGCATCCCCCCTGAGACTGACAGCTCGGACCGAAAGAACTTCTTTGGATGGGCGTTTGAGAAGGCTGCCGAGAGCACAAGCTCCCGGACGCTGCACAACCACTTTGACCTGTCTGTAATTGAGCTGAAGGCTGAGGATCGAAGCAAGTTCCTGGATGCACTTGGGTCTCTCCTGTCTTGAGGGGTTCGCTTCCTTCAGAACTGACCGCCGCCACCTTATTTATGCTCACAGCATTTATTTAGCCTATAAATTATGGACTTAGTTTTAGATGCCAGGAGAATTTCTTCTTCAGGGAATAAAATGTCATTTTATACTCAAAAAAAAGTTTTTAATAATTTCTGCTTTCTTTTCTATTGAATTTTTAATCTGGTTTATTTTTTTAGTTTTATTTGTTTTAAATGTTTTTCTGTATAAGAATTTCAGCATAGGCAAATATAAAGAGACCGTAACTGGATTAACGGTTCTTTGGGGAATGGCAGGGAAGGTTTCAGAGAAATGGGGAGCTAATTGCAATGACTACAAGAATGAAGAAAATGTTCTAAAACTGATTGTGGTGGTGATTGTACAGCTGTTCGTGATGTGCTTGAACTATCGAATTTTATAATAAGTGAACCATATTCTAATAAAACGGTTGGGATAAAATCCGGTGACTGTAGGGACTTGATTGTCTTTCTGAGTTCTCAATTCACATCTATCAGTCTTCATGTCTATCATGAACAAGTATCCAGCTGTTTCGATTATGGTGGCTATATATTCTACAATCTGGTAATGAATGATCTCCTTTCTTTTAAAATAGTGTTTGATTTACTCTGGGTTTCTTTCCTTTCCACATAGAGTTGGTGATTAGTGTTCCTATTTCTTTGAAGAAGAAACGTGTTGGGATTGAGATCAGAATTGCATTAAATTTGTAAAGTGTTTTGGGTGATATTGACATCTAGACTGTATTTAGTCTACCTATCCAGGAAAATGTCAGATTATTAACATGGTACCATAAAGTCAGTTCCAACTCATAGCGACCCAATACAACAAACCATGATGTATTGAAACAGAAAGTGGTCACATTTGTACAATTATGCTTGATCTAATTGAAATATGGATCTTTACAATATCTGTGAGAGCTCCCAATAAAAGAATTAGTAATTTTTTTAAAAAGCATAACATAGTCTTGCACCATCCTCACAAATGAACTAGTATTGTTCTACTTCCACTAAAGCATAGTATATTTTTCCTTCAAGAAGCCTCCCCACTCTACCACAAGTCTTCCGATTAATTTATCCTTTATCCTAAAACTTTTATGGATTGATTGACTGATTTTAGTTTTGATTTGTGACTTTGGAGCAACCCATCTGGAGTAGAACTGTTTAGTAGGGTTTCCTTGGCTGCCCTCTTTACAAAAGCAGTACACATGCCTGTTCTGCAGTGCCTCTGAGTAGGTTTGAACTGCCAACTCTTCGGTTACTTGCTGAATGCCACTCGGGGAGAATTATATTTTCATTTATTATCCAGGGAACTCACTTGGAAGTAAAATACATTTAAAATAGTCTTATGAATGGATAAAGCTTATATGATTCACATCTTCATAGGAGTGTTAAGTCCAACATAAAAAGTGGCCTTTATTAGGCCAAAAAATTTCAAAGATTGGCAATTTCATATGGTTCAACTTACAAATACAATTAACACCTCATTTTGCTATTCACCCATTTTCAGGGTTGCAACACATCTGTGTTTATATACAGAAACCTGCTTTTAGAAGAAAAAAAAAAGCACCACACAACAGGATTAAAAGGTGGGTGGTGGGAAATAGATGAATTATAGATAGCCATGTACAGCTTCCTGACTTTAAAAACGTTTTCATTTTAAAACACAGTTGTGTTCTCTGGGAATGGAAACTTTACTCGGTTATTGAAGACAGAACTTCAAAGAAAGTCTTACTCTTGATTTACTCTCTTCAATCCCCCTGGAGATTCTATTTATGTCCTCTGAAGTTTGGAGAGTGGAAAAGTTTGAGATGCATGCACTCTTTGATCTATTTTAAAACGTCTCTGCCATGGAGGAATAACACTTGGCTCTTGGGAACTAGTCCATTGCTTTGCTAGAAAAGAGAACACTTAAAGAAGCAGCTGCAAGTAAATTGCATGAAATTAGAACCTTTTCTAAAGATTTGTTTAACTGAAGCCATGTAAAATCAAAGTCTGCAACCAGTATATCCAGAACAGACTTTTTAAGGCCAAGGCCAACCTGAAACATCTCATGCCAAGAACCTACACAGGACAGTCAAATACCTAGGACAGGGGAAAAACTTAGCAGTCACTATTGATCCAATCAGTTGCACTTGGCTAGGCTTATGCAGGAACCTGTGCTAAAAGGAAACTGTATATGATTGAGCCCTGCATGACTGAGCATGGTATAAGAATAAAGTTCAGGGGCTGAGAAATTACACACAGTTTGCATGAATTCAAGCTCTGTTATTTAGTAGTTACTTGTTCTTAAGTTTCTGTTGTCTATAAAATGAAAAGGATGATATTGATACCTGTTTCATAAAGTAATTGAGAATATTAAAGGAGATAAACAATAAAGGAGGTAAATATATGTGCAGACCATGGACAAGACGGGTTGTCACAGTGACTGCAACAATGGGCTCAAGCATAACAATGGTGAAGATGGCATGGTGTTTTATTCTGCTGTACTTAAGGTCACTATTAGTCAGAACCAATTCAAGGCACCTGACGAGGACAACTACTTCAGAGCTGAGCACATAGTCAATTCCCCCAAATTTCCGCCATCAGCACCATCATTAATTAAGAGATGCAGAGAAGGTCTCTCAGGTAAGTCATCCATTTTCTAGTCACTCAGCTGCTATCTCTTATACACAGAATAAATTCGCGGTTACTCTCTGTTGTATAGGTGGAGAATAAAGCTATCTTTAGCACACAATCTATCCATGTTAAGGCCAAGAACCTCCTATCAGCTCCCAAGGCTAGAAGTATCAAACCCTAATAATTCAACCTCGACTTTAAAATTTATTAGTTACTTCCACTCTTAATGCTTCAACTTCATTTCCTTACAATGTCCTTTGAGCCTAGTGCTTCATCGTAATCATTTTTCTGTCTTTGTTTATGACGTGCTTTCTTTTCCTGGCACTCTGGTTCCTGTCCACTTCATCATCTTCATCCATTTCTTTGAAAAAGTTGCACACTGGAAGAAGGCTGGATCTAAATCCATAATTTTAACCTTAATTTTTATTCTTTGAACCTGAGTTTATCAATCAAATGAGTGTTGAAATATTTACCTTCATAAGATTCTGAGAAATAAATGAAATTATAAACAAAGGGACTTCAAAGGGTAAATGGAAAAAATAGAATTAAAAGATAATGGAATTTTTCCAAGAATTTTTGAAGACCCCTCAAGTGTTAAGTGATCAGCAGACACCTAGTAGTTGCTCAGAAAAAGTGAGCTTTATTCACCATCATAACCATCAAAAGATGGGCAAAATTCTTCTTTCAGGACACATGTCCTTGTTATTGATTATCATGTCTATGGTCATTGAATATAGCATCTTCAAACTGAGAGAAATAGATCTCCATGAACAAATAAAATTTGAATTCCAGCTTCAGGAAGTAATGACTGGACATGACCTCATGTATGTTTCTCAATCCCACTCAACCTTGATTTTCACATCTGTTAAAAAAACATTAATCGTGACACTCAGGGGAAATTGGTGACTTGATAGGACTCACCCATCCGGAGTTCCTGCTGCCAGACTAGAAAATTGGGAGGTAAGGTGAAAGAAACTGGGAGGTGGAGTCCTGAAATTAGAACTAGGGTACTAGGGTCTCTCCTGAACCCCTTTTCTGTGTGTGATTTCCACTCACAAAGCAAACCAAGAACACTCTAAAGCACTATAGCTTTGACGAGCCCACAATTACCAACTGACAAGCTCCTCTCGCCCTTGCCAGGAGCAGCGATTTCTCCAGGCTGACGCCCTAAAGGGGACATAATCCCAGACATGAGGAGAACCCCACCCAGAGCTTTCAGTGCTGTTGGCTGCCTTGAGCTCACAACCTGTGGAGTGGGGATGGCGAATAGCCATAATTGGGAGTAGAAGAAAAAGTAGATTTTTACCTGAGGCATATCACAGAGTGGGAGAAAATAGGCAGATAGTCGGAGTCCAGGGAGCGAATTTAGTTCCAGTTGGCCGAGAAGGAAACAACCCCCCTGATAAGCTGGATCTCCCCCTCTGGGGGTCAGCATGACAGCCCCAAATCATACCGCATCACAAGCATAATATTAAAAAGAGTGAAATATATATTATTGGTTAAAAACTCAAACCCTGGTCTTGTTGCTCAGCTCCAAGGAGCACATAGATGGGTGTTGGGGTGGGGTGGGTGGGTGGGCATTAGCATAAATCAGCATAGGAAGAAGCCTAGCTAAGGAATGCCAGAACTCAGCTACAGGGCCTGGCAGCTTTTTGCATAACAAAGACCCGCTGTAGCAGGTTTCAGCTTCAAACAATGCTAAGGTGCAACCCAGAGACTGTGGAAGACAATTTAATTTTATTCTATTCTAGCTGTCCAGAGGGATGAAAAAAGAAAATCCTCTGATCTAGTAGGGCACCAGCAGTCTAGATAGGACAATAAGCCCAGGTTACCTCTCAGTGATTCTACACACAGCTGGAGAGGTCCTGCCTGTCCTGGGGCCCTAGACAGGGCTGTGGGAAGACCCCGCCCAGAACCCCTGCTGCAGTGCTACATACAGCACAAGGCAGGTATCCCAGTGAACTCCAGTGCTCAGTACTGCAGTGGGAACTGACATTTGGCCACGTGTGTGATCTTGCATTTGAAAATAATCCCACATAGCATCTGTGGAACCATACATCTAATGGGTACACCATTCTGCTACCTCGAGGAAGAGTTGGAACTCCTCCAGCCTCACAGACAGGTGATCAAGTTTCAGTTATTTCCTTACTTCTCTATTACTTCTCTCTTTCTTCACTCACCCTTCTATCTTTCCCACCACAGTCAGTCTCAATGAGTTCAGGTTGTGTTGGTTTTTTTCACTTTTTCTTCTTTTTCCCTCTTTTTGTTTCTTTTCCCCTAATTCTCCTCTTCTCTCCCATTCTTTCCTATCATATGCCACTACTGGCTTTCAGGTCACTACCCTCTGCTTAGGGCAAATCAACCCAAATAGCAGGGGGAACTCCAGCCT